GGAGACTCGCTTGAGCCCAGGAGTTGGAGGTTGCTGTGAGCTGTAATGCCACGGCACTCTACCCAGGGGGACAGCTTGAGGCTCTGTCTCAAAAAAAAATAAAAATAAATAAAAATAAATAAAAAAAAGAAAACTTGAATTATCTACTTGCGCTGTTTGAGAATTACAGAATCAGCTCTCTGCACTGGTTTCCTCTGTATAAGGTGCTGTTTCCCCAAAAGCCATTTAGTCCTTTGAGGATGTCGGAAGAGCTATTCAATGTAGTAATTGAAATACTTTAAAACTTTCTTAAAAATATATGTGGGTAACAATTTTGGATCAGATCCTTAACAGACATTTTGGACATTTTGTGCTACTCACAGTGTGATCTAGCTTACACTAGGATCAACATTACCTCAGAGCTTCTTAAAAATGCCGAGAATCTTATGCTCACTCCCAGCCTTCTGGACTTTAACAGTATTCCTGGGTGATTCAAATGCATATTAACCTTTAAGAAGTTCTGTTACTGAGTATGTTAGAAGAAACTGTCTCCTTATTACAACTAGTCTCAAAAGAACCTTACTTGTTTTCTGAAACTCTCTCTTACTCTAATTTTGGATTTAGAATACCTTCAGCCAAAACAATATCACTATATTCTCTGACACCTATTATTTAAAATGATCACACAGAAATCAGCTTCTTGATTTTCTTAAACATTTGTGAGTGCTTGCTATGTGCAAGGCATTTAATCCTCATCAATGTGCCATTTCTCAGTTATGAGATGTGTCCAGCTTGGAAAGCTGGCGGGATATGGACCTAGGCAGTGTGGCTTCCAAATTGGCACTTTTTAGCCACTCAAACTCATGGAAGGAAGCTGTTTGACATTGGAAATAACGTTCAAATTATTAAACCATGTGGTGATGATTCTATAGGTGGATATGTTTAACTGCTTCCTAAATCAAGGATAAAGGCAACTCCTTTATCTTTTAAGTGGAATGTGTTACATGCAGCTATACAGTCACATTTGTCTGTTTCACGACAGTACAATGAAGCTGAATGAATAGTCAATGTGCTGATAGATCGTATCCTATAAAATAATTATGAATTGAAAAACATTGTTCTTTCTAAGCAATAATATAGCAACAGCCATGGTGGTTCACAGATGACTCAACTTTGGAGCCAGACAAAACAAGAGAAGGAAAAAGGAACTGTTGATATAGCTGTGAACTGAAATCTCAGGGTTGCATAATCACATTCCCTATTAATGAATAACTAAAAAGACGTGGATTGAATCTTTATTACAGGTGAAGGAAATTGGGGGCAATCCGGAAAATTGCCTCATCTTTTTTATCTCTTCTCTCTCCTCTCTCGTTTCTTACGTAGGATTCCCTGAAAGCTGACAATAAATAGTCAGTTTGATACAATAATATCATATTTCTTGCAGCACCGTAAAGATTAGGAACATATAAATAAATATTTTTCCCTACCCAAATTATATAGCAAAGGACCAAAAAGTTAAATAGCTATTTCTACCTTTAAATATGCAAAGGTCTCTTGTAACTCTGGGTAAAAGTTGTGTTATACAGGTGAGGAAACTGTAAAGACTCAAAGGGTATCTATAAGGAAACAAGAACAACTCACACGTCTACAGTTCAAGAAGGCATAACAGGTTGTGACCAATAAAACTGGAAGAGAACCATTGTATCCTCTGAATATATTGCCGTTAAAACTCTTCTACAGTGGGGAGAAGGGCTACAGATGAGAGGGAAGAATATTGTAAAATAAAATTTGAAACATTGACTGCAGCCAAATGAATGGTCACTATCATAAGTAATTGTTGTGGTTTTTCTTTCCAGTGTGTATGTACAGAGAACCATCACTACATGAAATTGGAGAAAAACAAGGACGCTCGAGGAAAAGTTCTGGAACACCAACCATGAATGGAGGCAAAGTGGTGAATCAGGATTCAACATAGCTGGGAACTCTTCCCTCCTTCCCTTTCTCATCCCTTCCTTTTCTCTTCCCTCCCCTTTACCCATTTCCTTCCAATAAATCCACCCAAAGAGAGGAAAATAAAATGGCAATCAGGACCTAGTGGCTAAGATTCTGCATTCAAAATCTTCTTTTGTGTAGGACGAGAAAATTGAACCAAAGCTTGCCTGTTGCAATGTGGTAGAAAATTCACATGCACAAAGATTGGCATACATAAAAGCAAATAATAAATCAGGACTCCACAAACATTAATTAAACTGTGTTGTTATTCATAGAGGGCTAATTGTAATGAAGACATTAACAGAAATGAAATAAAGTTATTACCTCGAAGGAAAGGGTTTTGGAGAATTGAACTTACAAACTGTTGTTATAGCTTGAATAGCATAAACTGTGGATAATGGTGTGATGTGTGGTTTTGTTTGCTTTTGTATTTTCTTTGGGCATCTGGAACCGACACACAATTACATTCTGTTTCTAGGATTTTTTTAACCATGAAATTTAATGTATATTCATTATAGACTCTTTTACTGTCTATAAAGTATGCCATGTATAGCCAAGAGCTAGTTAACATCAAGAGAAGTTTAAAAAATATTTTCGATGCTGTTAAGATTGTTTTATGCAAAAGGAAAGTCATATTGAATGAAGTGGCATCAGCTGATTTAATTCCTTCATGAAAAGAGGTTTAAATTTTCGTAGGAGAATATCACATTTTTATCGAACTTATTATTCTAGGAATTAATATTTTTAGTCATCTAGGAAAAAAGAGTTTTTCTAATGCTGAAGTGACTTTCAGGAATCCTTTGTCATTGTCATATCCAGGCAGTGAGGTATTCATTAATTGCTCTTACCATCAAGTCTGATTTTTTACTTTGTGGACACATGCGAGAGTTTAGATGCATGTATTAGGAAGTTTTGTACCATCTCTTGCAGCAGGAAAGAAAGAAGATGGGTTTTACATAGGGAAATAAGTCCTAGGAAATTAATCAAAGCAAATGGTATTTGCCTTTATCCCTTACTAGAGTTTTATGTCTATAGCATTTTCCAAACTCTGCCAAGAAATTAGGAGGCATGGCTGTGAAGTTCCTAACTTAATGTCCACGAAGGCAGTGGTTGGATCGTTACTATACATCCTCACTTAGTGTCCAGTTGAAGTCTATTTCCTAGAACACAGAGGGTACTCGTACAACAGGTGCATTAAGTTTTCAAAGGGCATAGAGAAACAGTACAGAATCAACCGCCGTGGCTTCAGCAGACGAGATTGTGTCAGCAGCTTAAAGTAGTGCGAAAGAACTCTCTGTAAGAGTGGGCAAATGCATAGTTAGGGATACCAAAGTATTAGGGAAATATTAGGGAAGAATTAAATGTTATACAATTGTGCATTGGAATAAGTAGATCTAGTTAGTCCTACAAATCAGAAATGGTGTAGAGACGTCCAAATTAAAACAAAACAAAACAGAATGTTACAAAAATGTATGCAGACTTATGGATACCATCAATGAGAAGACTTAGCATGTAACTTCTCCTATATCTCTACTGTCCAGCATGTAGTGTTCCAAATATGACTCCCTAAAATATATACACTTGGCAGAAGCTCTAGGCCTCCACTCAGACCTTGCCATTGGTTGCTGTATCTCAAGGTCAGCATAGTTTCCCTCACTCTAAATCATTATCGACAGTGATTCGCATCCTTCACCAAGTATCCTACTTCTGTTACCAAGTGGTTTGCAGAAAATGAAATGGAGGAGTTTGCCTAAACAGTTGGAAGAATAAACATTGTGCATCTGGGCAAGGATTTTGAACACACATTTGCAAGAGATATTTGTTTAATTAAAATATTTGGAAAGCAACAAAGACATTTAATTTTTCTTAAAGGAATGTTACTCTTCTAGGAAAAGAATGCCCTTTGTTTAAAAAAAAAAAACAACAGAAATCTCACTGTATTTCTCCTTGTCACTTTTGATTCAACTTGCTTATAAATACACTTGTCACTTCTAGGACCAAAAAAATCCCAAACACAAAGCCTTATTTTCTTTGAAAAAATAAAGAAGAAACTGCAACCTAATAGGTCACCGGCACTTTTAGCATGAAATGACTTGAGCTTTTGTGGTGATAAAGACACACACACACTCATCAGTGATACCGTAGATGATTTTGTAAATAACAGGATGGAATTTATAGTCATCAATTATAAGCAATTTCATTACCAAGATATTTAATCCAATTAATCATGAAACTCTGCCCTTTATCTTTAGTGGCTGGTTATCATCCAGACTCAGCATCTGTCTCCTTCCTGGTAGCAGTTAAGAAGCAGAATTCTAACCACTCAGTTTGGATATTGTGTTTCTCAATATCAAGTTAAACAAATATTCACTGCAGTAAAATGTTTTGGGAAATTAGCTTTGTCTTGTTTACAATTTATTTCAGAGACTGAATTAGAAACCTCATTTCTTTTACACATAGACCTGACAAAAATTGTGGTTTAGAGCACACAGCGAATGTTTGCTTAACGATGGCTTACTGTTAGAGTACATAAAACCTCCAATAAAAAAAGGGAGTCAGTATTCATGCTCTAGGTTTTAAATACTATTAACCATTAGAAATGTAATAATCCAATTTCCTCTGAAAATATAAGCCATTTGACTATTTTATTTTCAGGTTTATTTCCAATATAATAATTTTTTACTTTGATCTTTCTAATTCTATTTGTTAGGTCTTCAATGCATCCTTCCCCTTATCCTCATTTAAGTGAAATAAGCTTTTTTAAAAAATGCATTGAGATTTTCCCTGAAAAAATACAACTTTAATAAAGTGTTTGTAATTGGCTCTACAGATACGAATTAAGACTCACCCATTCTAAGAGTTCTTATTATAATATGTTTTAAAATCAATAAGTTAAGAATGAAAACAAAACTTGTGTGAATCTCACAAAATCGCTTTTTGGTTACTATACCTTCATTTCTAAGCTAGAAGTTTGAAGTATAGAGACAAGTGTTGCTGAATGAAGTTCCATTTGCTAATTCAGAGACTTCTGTGCTTCAGGAACCTGGAAGACAGCAAATGGTACTGTTCTTGATCATAGTAATGGCTTTGACTTTGAATTTTACATATGAACTCCATAGCACATTAGCCACCATGAATTGGCACAATAAATAGCCATCAATATAATACACTAGGACACTTTCTGGGCCTCCTTCTAAGTAAGAAAATCTTATTTAAAAGAACTCTTCTTCTGTTTAAGAAAATAGCAACACTATAGATAAAGTTTTGCTATCCAGATTGGTGGTCCTGTCACTAGCCGAGATGAGCCTTTTAAAACAAATCTAAGGAATGAAGAATTATAATAATTGCTGTGTATTGAAGGGTTTGGAAGTCCTAACTTGAGACCACTGATGTCTTGGTGAAGAATCATGACTACATCAACAGTAATTTTTTAAACATCCACCCAGAAATAGCCAACCTATTTCACGCTCCTGGCTTAGCCTATAAGGCCTTGCTCTTGAGAAAGTTTTCCATGATGTTGCTTAATTTCATCTGCTCAAGGTGAGACACAGTCGAACATAAAATTCCCTGCTCATTTTAATATCTTAAAAGGCTGAGGTTATCTCTCCGTCATGAAATTGTAAATAACATTTTTTAAGTCAGAATTACATTTAAAAGAGTGGATTGTTCTACAAATATATATGTGTATATATACATATACTTCTGAAATAAGGATATATTATATAGAGTTTTTATTTGATTTGTGGTCTTTAGTCATAGATAATCAAAAGTAAAGAGATTTGAATGCAAAACTTTATATGTAAATGTATATTTCTAATGATGGTACAAATTGCCACTTTCTAATAAAAAGAGGAGACCAATGGGAATAATGAAGCACACGCTCCTTCAGAAGTCCAGTGATTTTTAATCCCCGCTTCGATGCAGAGAAAATTTCTTTTTATTTCTAAAAAGTTATCTTGAAAGTCTAGACTTCCCAATATAGATTTCATGACAAGTCACGTTAGAGTGAAAATTTATGGACGAAGGACAAGAAAGGGCTGCTAAATGCTGATCTTTGTTTTTCGGGATTTTTCCTGGAGCCCAAGTTAAAAACTCAGTATTTAAATCTAAATTAAGTGAAAATGACTAATGTTCAGAGTTAATATACTGAGCCTGAGTGAAAATATGACTATTTAACATTATAATACTAGCATTAAAATGTCATAATAAAAATTGCACCATGAAATGTCGTATTAGTTGGAGAGAATGAACTAATGTTTCTTTGTCTTTGCTCCAAGCACAATTTAAAGGCAGTGACATTCATTTTCCCTAAAGTTGTTCAAAAAGCCCAAAATATAGTCCCATGCATAGAATTTGTATTAGCTCTGTTACAAGGTTAAATGTCACAGTCAAGAGACTACTGACACCAAAATGTTTAATAAACATGTTGTATGAGAAACTACACAAACCATTGTTTTCATTTTTGCATTAAAACACAGATTATTCAAATACTGGTTTTTGAAATCAGACTTGTAAAATGTTGATACATCACGAACTGCCTAACATCAAAAGCTACTGAAATCTAAAGATCCTCATGCACGTAGACCAAGTACTGGGACCTTTTTTAAACATTAAACTTCTCTGAGGAGTGTACCCTTTTTGGAAATGTGTTTATCCTGTACCGTGTTGCTGAGAAAGTGTTGTGTCTTAAAAAGAAAAAAAAAAGATAAAAGATGGATTTGTGGATGGGAAATAAGTCAAATTTTATTGAAGTTAAATAATTATGAAGCTACTTACAGTGACTTGACATTCTACTTTTCAGTGATCAAGAAGTAGAACCTATGCTTTTATTATTTTGTTCGTAACTGACCAACTAGAGACACAGTTGCCTTTAGGGGTCATAAACAAAATTATACTCTGGAAAAAAATCCAAGAAAGGCAGACAAATTATGTAACACCTCCAAGAATGTACAATGATATGAGTGTTACTAAGATTTTTTTATAGCACTAATGATGCAACAAGGCTAGAGGTAAGACAGA